CGTTGCGTAGCGGTCTTTTTTGCGCAGCTGAGGCCTCTAGCCAGTGCTCGAGTCCACACACATGAAATCACGACTGTCAGCCCTCAGCCGAAGCTGGGGCCGGTCCCGTAGCCGAGAGAGCCCGCGCCGTGAGTTCGACGCGGTCGGGAGGCCTTGCGGAGAGGCCAGCGAGGTGGCGATCGCTGTACTTCATGGTCGTCATCAAGTGACCGGCTGACAAGCCAGAGGTCGATACTCTGGACGACCCATAGGATGCCACGAATGCCTGAAGGAGAGGGAGGCGAGGCCAGAGGCAGGCTCAGCTGCTCTCGGGTGATCCCGCTTTGGAGGCTGAAGGACCCGATGGTCCTGTCACATTCGCGTTCCGAGTCGTGGGGGTAGAAGAATTCGAGTAGAAATCGAGTCAGCACTTCCTTGTAGTACAGCGGACCGCCAGGCTCGCCGGCAGCATCCGCAGGGAGGCAGCATATGAGGCACCAGTTTTCTGGAGAGCTCAGCAGCTGCGGCCGCGGTGGCGGAGTCGGCCGCGGTTCGAGCGAGCAGCTTTTGGCTGCGGGTTCGAATCGCGGAAGGCTCATGCCCTCGCGGAGCGACGCGGGTCGCGCGGCGCGCGCGTGTGCGAAATGCGACAACAGACGACAGATGACAGACGCCTGAGCGCTGTACGCCTGAACTTTTGTCGCCGCAATCGCCACCGCCGCCATCTTGACGAGCAGCGCGAGCGCGCTCGTCGGCGGCCAGCCGTCGCGGGCCGGGCCGAGCCCGGCCTCAACCGGCCGCGCCGCCGCAGCAGGCCCGGAGGCCCACATGGCGGCCGACCAGCTGATAAGGAAGCTTAAAAATCTCTCTCTCACACATGCCGCTCACCACCAAGCTCACGCAACGCCTCGGCATCCAGCACCCGATCATTCAAGGTGGCATGCACTATGTGGGCTACGCGCCCCTCGCGGCCGCCGTGTCTAATGCCGGCGCCATCGGTGTCATTACGGCGTTGACGCAGCCGAATGCCGAGGCGTTGAGGAGGAGATTCAGAAGACGCGCTCGCTGCTTCGATCACCCGACACGCCGATCGGAGTGAACCTGACTGTACTGCCACAGCTCAACTCGCCCGACTACCCGGCAATCGTCCAGGTGCTGCTCGACGAGAAGGTGGCACGTCGTAGCCAAAGTCAGAGCGGCAGCACTCATCTCCTCCACGTGCCCACTCCTCTCGCCCGCTCGCGCAGGTGCCGATGATCGAGACTGCGGGATCGCCAAAGTGCGCCGAGCTGTGGGAGCTGCTCAAGGCGAGAGCGGACTCCACACTCTGACCCGGACCCGGAAGATGTTTCTGACCCTGGCCCTGCCCCGACCCTGACCCTGGCCCTGCTGCTCGAGGCGGGCAATCCAGACGTGTGCATCATCCACAAGTGCACCACCATTCGCCACGCGCTCAAGGCGCAGGCGATGGGCTGCGACATGATCTCGCTGGACGGGTTCGACTGCGCCGGCCACCCAGGCGAGACAGACGTCGGCAACTTCCTCCTGCAGCCGATCGCCGCGCGCAAGCGCTCCCTTCTCCGCGTGACCAGCCGCGTCCACGAACGTGTCCGATCGACATGTCCTGGAGATGTCCCGTAGGCTCTCGGTCCCGTACGTGACGAGCGGCGGCGTGGGGGACGGCAAGCAGCTGGCGGCCTGCCTCGCAATGGGCGCCGTGAGGGTCAACCGGCCGGCCGTATTTCTTCTTCCCCTGAGTGGGGAGAGCTTTGTTTTTCAGGTGCGGAGGGCGTCAACCTCGGCACGCGCTTCATGGCGACGGCCGAGGCGCCAATCCACGACAACATCAAGAAGGCGCTGGTGGCGGGAGACGAGAACTCGACGCAGCTCGTGATGCGCAGCCTGAAGAACACGGAGCGCGTGTACAAGAACGCGGCGTCGGACGAGGTGCGGCGCACCGAGGCTCCCTCGGCGCCTACAAATGAGAGAACCCGGCGTGCTTCTTTTTCGTAGGTGCTGCGCATCGAGGCGGAGCACCCGGGGCAGATCGACAGGGGGGGGGGGGGGGGCTGCTGCAGAGGGAGGGCGAGGCTTAACTCTGTGCCGCCCCGCCCGCAGGATCGCCGAGGAGGAGGAGGCGAAGGCGAAGCGCGAGGCGCGCGTCGCCGAGCGGGCCGACGAGTCCCGCCAGCTGCTGGTGCAGATCGTCCAGCAGGAGGAGGCGGGGCCGAGTCAGCCAGTCGACAAGTCAGAGTTTGAGGCGCCGCCAGACGACGACGACGAGGCGGATGAGCTGGAGCAGTTCGAGCGGTGGAAGGTGCGAGATGTGAATGAGCGGTTGATGAATGAGATGTGAATGAGCGATGAATGAAAGGTGAGTGACTAACCGATGATGTTCGAGCGATGGTAGGTGCGAGAGCTGCGGCGCGTGAAGCGCGAGCGGGAGGAGGCGCGCAAGGAGGAGGCGGACAAGGCGGAGATCGAGCGGCGGCGCAAGCTGACTGACGCGGAGAGGGCGGCGGAGGACGAGGAGTTCAACCAGGGCCGTGCGGGGCACGGGCAGGAGAAGGAGCAGTGGAAGTTCCTGCAGCGGTACTACCACAAGGGCGCCTACTTCCAGGACGAGGACGAGACGGGCAATGCAAAGATGGGGCCAGTCATGTCGCAGGACTTTGGCGCGGCGACCGGGCGCGACGCTGTCGGAGACAAGGCGGCGATGCCGGCGCCGATGCAGGTCAAGAACTTCGGCCACCGAGGCGCCGTCAAGTGGACGCACCTCTCCGCCGAGGACACCTCCTCAAAGGCGCGAGAGCGAGCCGCCGAGAGCGAGACGCGAGAGCGAGCGAGCGGGCTCCTCCCCCCCCTCACCCCTCCTCCTGCCTCTCCCCTCACCCCTCCTCCTGCCTCTCCCCAATCAGGCCGTCTGCTCGCTGCTCTATGCGCTGCTCGAGGCGGCGGACGCGCCCCCAAACCTCTTCCTGAAGCGCGAGGCTGGCAAGCTGTTCCCCGACGGCTTCCACGAGGCCCTCAAGGAGCTGCTTGTCGAGCTGCTGTGAACAGCGCCTCTTCACACCTCTGGCTGTGAACAGGACCTCAAGGAGCTGCTTGTCGAGCTGCTGTGAACAGCGCCTCTTCACACCTCTGGCTGTGAACAGGACCTCAAGGAGCTGCTTGTCGAGCTGCTGTGAACAGCGCCTCTTCACACCTCTGGCTGTGAACAGGACCTCAAGGAGCTGCTTGTCGAGCTGCTGTGAACAGCGCCTCTTCACACCTCTGGCTGTGAACAGGACCTCAAGGAGCTGCTTGTCGAGCTGCTGTGAACAGCGCCTCTTCACACCTCTGGCTGTGAACAGGACCTCAAGGAGCTGCTTGTCTATCTGCTGTGAACAGCGCCTCTTCACACCTCTGGCTGTGAACAGGACCTCAAGGAGCTGCTTGTCGAGCTGCTGTGAACAGCGCCTCTTCACACCTCTGGCTGTGAACAGGACCTCAAGGAGCTGCTTGTCGAGCTGCTGTGAACAGCGCCTCTTCACACCTCTGGCTGTGAACAGGACCTCAAGGAGCTGCTTGTCGAGCTGCTGTGAACAGCGCCTCTTCACACCTCTGGCTGTGAACAGGACCTCAAGGAGCTGCTTGTCGAGCTGCTGTGAACAGCGCCTCTTCACACCTCTGGCTGTTAACAGGACCCTCAGGAGCTGCTTGTCGAGCTTCTAGCCCTAAAGGTACCGCGCCTGGTGCGACTGCCTGAACGGAACCCTCAACGGTGGCGGCGGCGGCGCTGGCTACTGGTAAAATAAGGGCATGGAAGAGGAATTGCCTTAGCTTTAGAAAGTCCTGTCGCTCCGG